ATTCTTAAATGTCCAATACGTACATAATTATCTGATATTGATTAACTTAAAGCATTTTAGAGTAGAAAAATATATATTAAGAGATATTTTCAAAAATGTTATTAACTAAGCAGTAATTTATTAACAAAGATGGCATTGAAGTCTACGGGGACAAGGTGTTTTTTTTTTTTTTTTTTTTTTTTTTTTTTTTTAGAATAAAGATTGAAGTAATAAGAATATAAATAAATACTTTGGTGGAAAGATGATTAAAACATTAGAAATAGAAGATAATTGAAAATGATTTTTTTTTATACCAGATATGTTTTTTTTTTTTCAACTGATATTTTTATTAATTGAAAACAGACGGAGATAACTCTTAACAAAATTCAAGGTCATAAATAAGGACACGTCTCATCATTTCATGCTAAGATAGTAATAAATGGGGATTATGTCGAAATATACTGAGTATTCAACCCCCACACATATGTTTTGTATTCCACTTCATTAAATCTGTTGCTATAAGGAATGGAATACCTTAACTACTTTATTGCTGACTCAAAATCCAACTTCTTCAGCTAGCTTCTGAATGCCTGACTTTCCAAAAGCTTTGCCTTATATACCCTTTGGTTTGGCTAGTCAATTCCAGGTGTTGTCAGGACATTCCATTATTTGAAGTCTTCAATGTGTTTTACTCAAATGGCCATTAACCATTACACCTATATATTCCTATGTAAAACTTTGACCCACTGTTTTGTCCCCGCTCTACCCCGGGGGCCATGATTCAAACAAAATTTAATTTATTAAAATTAAAAAAAAAATATTAATATTAAAAATAATATGTCATTTAATTAACAATGTCTTTTTTTTTATATTTTCAAGGGTTACTGAAAAAGATAGGCGGGATAAGATGTACATTCAAATAAATTTACTGTACTCAACAGTGATTTAATATTTAAAAAATGAAGAACAGTCTGAACAATGATATAATGTATAATAACGCTTCACAACATGACCAATTACTCCCATGATCTCAATCCAGATTGTCTTAAGTACCTCCAAATCAGTTTATAAAGATAACCTTACTTATCAAATGCTTTTTGAAATTTAATTTTAAAGAAATTGCATTCAAATTTACAAATACGTGATTTGTTCTTAAAGTTCGTTGACAGATTCTATAAATTTCTTATTAATAACTACCCTGTCAAAGGTTACAATATTATCTTGATGGGGACCATTATATAGTTATTGATGGAAATTAAGACAACACACGGAGTATATGTTTAAAATTCAAATCAAATACACGACACGATACATGTAATGTGCGAAATTTACGAGCAGCATCAGTGTTAACACTTCGTATACACAATCTGTATATCCAGTCCGACTTTGCGCTACAGTACCGACCAGACACAACCTAACAGAAAGCGAACCCAAAGCCCACTCCGGGTTTGCTTGGGTTTCGCTAAAGCTAACCCCGAGAGCGCACCCCGAACGAACCCGCAGAGGACCCAGAGCGAACGCCGAAAGCGAACCCAAAATTCAGTAGCGAAACCAGAATGCGAACGCGCGTTCAGTGTTGCGTAACAGAGAACGAACTAATTATCGGTAGGTGGTAAGGGATAGTTTCGTAATAAAGACCCGGTCAAATTTCTTAAAAAACTGAGATATCCCCTGTTTGATGTAATATTTTATGATTGATTGATTGATTGATTGTATATTGTTTTACGTCCCATTCGAGAATTTTTCACTCATATAGAGACGTCACCATATACCGGTGAAGGGCTTCAAATTTTGACCTTTACTCGGCACTCAGGGTCATTGAGCAGTGAGGGATCTTTATCGTGCCAACGCCTGCCGTGACACGGGGCCTCGGTTTTTAAAGTCTCATCCGAAAGACCCGCAACTTTCACTTCAAAGTGCCGTGCGCATGGCGAAGGAACAGTTGCTACCTATTTTTTATCGACTTAGGTCTGTCGCGGCCGAGATTCGAACTCACGACCTCCCGATCACGAAGCGAGCGCTCTACCGACTGAGCTACCGTGAACGGTTTAATATTTTATGAAGAAAAATGAATAGAATAATTATGGGACACATTTGCAGTGTAGCAGAGTGCTTGCTGAAAAAAGAATGATGTGCAACATGTAGGTGTCACTATGACGCTTATCATATACAGAGTTTTAAATGCGAAGCTAAAACACGTGGTCAGCTGAAAAGCAGTAGGGCTTAGAAGAAGGTATGTATCTCAGAAGGAAGGTGAATGGCCCCATATCAATTGGTGAATTTTCATTAGGGCATACATTGATTGACAGAATATTTGGTGTTTTATCCTGCTCGTTCGGGCCTCGGGGTGGGCTGTACGGGTGCGACTGAGGCCCAAATCCCGGAAAAACAAGCCAAAATTTGGGGTCCCGAGGTGCATTTTTGGTACTAAAACCATCAAAATCAGTGTTATCTTTAAAATCCTCTTTACTTCATGAAGCAGTCAAGCTCTTGGCATGATTCTAATAAGCATTTAGCCTTCCTCCAAAATTGTGAAATTTATGGCCCAAGGGTCAGGAGTTATGGAGTTTGGGCGGGGCTCTAATGATCATATAGTAAAAATGTACAATACCCTACAGCATTTTTTAAATAACATATATTCCATCACAAAGGTAAAATTTATCATAACACAATTCCTGATATACAATACATAATTCGTGAAAATATAGACAAATTCTCAAATAATGACGACCATTTCTCAGTTCCATTGTTCAAAAACCTTTTTTTAATAGTTCTTTCAGGCTTGATCATATTTGGTCGCTTGACCTATTTGTCCAAGTTCCTCATATTCGTCATTGCTCTCTATCTTGCCAGGTGTTGCTGTAGTTGTGTTTTGTATTGTAGTTATCTCTCTGTTTGTTTTTGTCTGAGATAATATTTGTCTAAACCTCACATTTCTGATAATCCTAAAACGATAAATTCTCATAAGTATTTCGAAAAAAAAAAATGATACAAAATTGAATTTTAAAATTGAAAGAAATTTTGATTATTACTGAAACATGAAAGAAATCAAAACCAAGAATTGTTTTCATGTACTCAAACGATAAATTCTCTTATGTATCCATGAAATAAAGAAAAGCTGGATATTGAAAAATATTTTGTTTATGGAGAAAAAATGAAAGGAATCGGGACCAAGAATAGTGTATAATGCAGAGTATATAATGTATGTAAAATCTTCCTTTTTCAAGACTTATAAGTATGCTTGACTAACAAAATAATGAGATTGCGTGCGATTAATATTTTAATTATTTGTTACCATGTAAAATGCAATTAACGCACTTGCCCAATAAATTGTTAAATTCAGAAATTTAAGAACTTTGTAGTTTAACAATGATTATGAATGGATAAATAAAGATAAATGCACAGTTCCATACAAAGACAGTCAACAAAGTATTATATATTCTTGAAAAGAATTGAATGAATTGATTTAAAAATTGAAATCAAATTAAAAGAATTGAATAATTTAGAGTTACAGAAGGATAATAAAGCCTTGTTACAACCTTTGATTGAAAAATCTATTTAACTCATGTCTTTTAAATGTTTCAATGGCAAGTCAGGTAACAAATAAAGAACTGGTATCAGTTCATTAGAGTGCTATGAAAATCAATGCTGAAGTTAATCTGAAGCAGTTCAACAAATCCCTAAGCCTTATGTAAAAGTTATTTCAATTAGTTTTTCCCTAACATTTAAGAATAAATAAACATTCAATTATTTTGTCCATATTAAAAAAAAAAAAACACCTATGATGTTGGTTAATGCTTTGATATAATGACTTAAAATGTTTATTATTTATTTATTTTTTTTTTTTTTTGGGGGGGGGGGGGGGATTTGATTTTATTTAGGTTGTCAGTGTTTGGAAAAGAATACCAGTCGGACCCGAAGTTATAGTTCGTATGTCATCACATAGACATGACATATTGAAGATCTCTAAATAAGAATGTTAGAAAAAGGAAGAGTTTGTGAACAAAGCATTATAAAGCTTTTTATACGACAAATATAAAAAAAACAACACTATTTTAAATGTTCTTTATCACAATGATAGCTAAGTTGACATGACCTGATGAGATTAGTACAAGCATTCATGCAATCCAATTTAAAGAAAGTGAATAAAAAAGAGTAATTTAAAAATGTAGTAAATTTGGTTCAATAGTTAAATGAGTCCTTATGAAGCGTGTGATCAAGTTCCTTGTCTCTTTACATTAACAGAAGGAATAGTATACTTTAGTATTTGAGTGCATTCTTCTCTTAACAGCCTGTTCAGAGTGTAATCTTACCAGACAATTAAAATTCCGTTCAGTAAAACACTCAAGCAAAGGGCTGTGATAATTACACATACAGCATAAGGAGACGGTTGCGTGCTTGTTTCTACAACTTCTTCAACTTTTTGAAAGAGAAAAAAGAACTGTGGGAAGTCTATTGGATCCATTTAAGACATCATTACAATAACCTAAATTATAGCAGCAGGTACAATGCATATCGCAATAAATGTTTTTTTTTTTTTTTTAACTTGCAATGGTTCAAATTATTTAAGCAAAACTCAGAAAAGTAATAATGTTATTTTTTTTTTCTTTATAAAAGAAAAACTCCCGGATGGTTGTATTTCCATTTGATATTGTATATTCTATGTTTCCCCTATAGAATGCATTTGAAAAAAAAAATAAAGCATTTTTATCTTTAAAAGACAATTTCAGAATGCCCATAACCGTACAAAGAAAACACTTAAAATTTTCAATTAGAGCAAATATAAAGTATTTTTATACATGCTTAAACCAATTATTGAAACATATGTATGTGTAAAAATTAATTCATATTAGTTTCAATACATCTACTGACATCGTATTTATACCCCTATGGCCCTTTATATTTCTTTGAAGGTAATCCTGATATTCTATATGCTTAAAAATATTTTACTCTGTTTTATCCCATAGATATGCATTGCATTGATGTGACTGAAACAAGCAATGGTTTTCTTTTACCTTGTTCGCGTTTGTCACACGTCCCACCAGTCCATCCTTTCTGACAATCCCCAATACATTGTCCGGTCACGCCATCACAGGTGCCAGGTAACCCACAATTAACACTGCACTCGGTCTTGCAATTTACTCCAAATCTTCCCACTGGACACTCTAATTGCAGATTCTTAGAATTTCAAAGGATGCCAAATATAATATAATATTTGTATCATCTTTTTCTTTTGTTAAAATATATATATATATATATATATGCCCGATGTTAAATGATTCCTAGATGAATGTACCGAAGATTTAAAAAAAAAAATCCTCACAGTATGCAATCAGAAGCCTAGGAGTTTGTGAAGTGACTAAGAAATTTCCCAGAGAACTTTTTAACATTGATCCATGTATTTCTTGAGTATTCGTTTCCTAGTTTTACCTTGATGGCAGGTGCTTCCAAAATATCCAAGATCACAGCCCATGTAACAAATTCCACTTGTATGGTCACATTGTTGTCCATCTCGACATTTTCCACATACTTTCGAACATTGACGTCCATATGTGCTGTTTTGACATGCTAGAGATTAATTAAATCCTTTAGATATTTCGTAAACAGTTTAACTCATACGGATATTTTTTAGTGGAATCTTATCCAAATCAAGTTTCAACTACCGATAATTGAACTAGCAATTTTTATAGTGTTTTTAGTTTAGTATTGAGTTGAATGTAGTGCATGCAATGTTTGCTAAGCCTCTACTAAGTCAATCATGGCGATGAATAAATGATTTTTTTTGTATATATTTCGAGGGGGTTTAACTTGTTTGATTTTTGTTGGTACCAATGCCCCAAAATCTAAAGCTAATCGAAAATGGACATATATTACATAGAGTGTATATATATTATAAGAAGAATTTCAGTCATGGAATAATGTCCTGACGAAGTGGTAAAGTTTTAGGAATCTTCGAAAACTGGGTCAAAAACTTAAACTGGTTACACAGTGATAAAAACACACTTTTTTGAAATTTTATAATTAGAATGCTTAGAAATGAAAGAAAGAATCATAAACGAAGCATTGTTTTAAATTAAGATAAAAAAAAACCCTTGAGGTTAAAAGCAACACCAACAGAATTCATAATCACTCGGTACCCTAGTTTTTGAAAAAAAAAAAAAAAAAAAAAAAAAAAAAAAACAGTGTTTACGTTCTATTGTTATTAAAAAATGCAGATGTAAAAAGTGAAGCTATTAAAATTATTGTTCCTTATGTGACAGGAAGGGCTTTTTTCACTCAAGCTTAAAGACATCACAGCACGATACGTTCTGACGCTAGCATTTTAGTCATTCACTTGACAGAGGAGTGCATAATCAAGCCTACTCTATGCATACCCATCAGCTTCATATCTTATTTATAATATACACATGTGTTTTTCCGATTCATATTTACTTACGTTGCTCGCATTCATTTCCTTGGTAGCCATCATCACATATAAAACAGTGACCAGATGCTATGTGGCATCGATTGTCAAGGCAGTTTGATGGACATCTTGAGCATTTTTCACCAAAGTATTCAGGCGATGAACAACCTTATTACAAGTGTAGGAGTAAACATTAACAGGAAGCATATTCTAATAACATCTGTCCAACACCATATTTATATTACATTTAGTCGAAATGCCATTTATTACTTTTTCAATATTACAATACTGTAATTTATTAACGGAATAAAAGTGATATTCTGTCACAGTGAGACAGAATATCAGAATGCGGCTAAACTCGAAAATTTTCTTCCTTTCAAGAAGAATGTTTTAAAAAAAAATCCCCTGGCCTTTCTAAGATAGACAGAGTAAATAAACCATCCTGACAGGGGCTAAACCTGCCGAAGTTTCTACAAATATGTTGTTGAAATCCATGTTCACAATGTTTTCAATCTCACAATCACCAAGCTATGACTTCTCAACCGCTCAATTATGACGTCACAGCCTATGGTACTGTGTTGCAAAAAGGCAGAGGCAAAGGGAACATTATTAAATAAAAAAAAAAAAAAGAAAAAGTAAACAGAAAATTCAATGTTTGTAGATAGATAGGAAATTAATTTCACTCGTAAGACAGGATTTTTTTTTTAATTCTCACTCGTGCTTCGCAGTTGTGAAAATATCAAAACATCCTGTCCCACGCACGAAAAAGCTGTATATATAAACATATCCAACTACAAAACAGTGAATATCCTCTATGTACACAATATTTGGACCTCATAAAGGTAATTTTAGTCAAAAATTATTTGAAAAAAAAAATTTGATCTGCATATTTTTAATGAATATCTTGGGCAACATCTTATTTTCATAACCTTCCCCCGACCTTTAAGTTATGAAGCTTTTGACCAGTTTGACAAAAATGTCGTTTATAAAGTTATTTGCAAAGTTAAAGTAAAAAAAAAAATAAAATCACATACCATATACTTCGAATTCACACAGCTCGACATGCGCAAACTGAGAGTAGTAAGGAGGGTCTGTTGGTTTTCGTTCATTGTAGTAAATCACATATCGGCCGTAATGAGTACAGTTCAGTGTTACAACAGCGGGTATGGTCGCTTTTGTAAAAGTAGCGTCTTTAAAACATAAAACTCCATCACTCTTCTCAGTTGTGTTGGATATATACACAGAAAATCCCAGAAACCGACTGGCATGTCCGTTCCCGTTATCTTAAAAAGTTTAATATTTAAGAATATAATATAAAACAAAATAGTCTGGATAATCTGTATACTTTCTTGAATATTGCGTGTATAATGATGTTTGCGAATATGGTCCATAGATTACCAGATTTTTCATATTTTAAAATGTTTCCTATGTACGATCAAATGATGAGCAGGGAAAAGGACAGGGTCAAGTAAATATAGCTGTGTGTGCTTTATTTGAATTTACATTCATGATGCAATAATGAAAAAAAAAAAAAAATATCAGGAAGAACACCTTAATTTAATATACATTCTGTGGAAAGATATCACAAAGTAATACAAAGAAACCGGGAATCTACCTTCCCTGATTTCTTTCTTTCTCTTCAAATAAAATCTTTATATTGACTTCGGTTTCTGAATTAGTACTTTCTTACCCCACGCAGCTCCACCTGTCCTGTAGTAGATACGAATGTGGTCTATACCACGAATGGCTCCAAGATCGACTCGCCAAGTTGCATTATTTTTTCTACCTTGAGAAACAGCGCATTGTTTTCCGGAAAAGTCTGTTTTTCTACCATCCACCGCATTCTCTGATATATAATCAGATTTTCCTGAATGAGTTGAAAAGGGATTGTCCTGCCAGGCTGGTTTGCCAAAGGCAATGTTTTCTGAAGAAAATGGAAAAGTTATTTAAAATACCCTTCCAGAGGACAAAATGCATTTAGATTAGAACTTTGTGTAAGAAAATACTTAAGTATAACCTACAATATTTTTCAGCGAAGTCATTACTAAAAGAACATACTTGAAATACTCGTTAGATGTTCAACATATTCTGATTCAACAGGTCAAGTCAAGTTAATAGCAAAGCTCTGCTTGCAGAGCGAGCTCAAAAGACTAACGTGTAAGAACAGAGGAAATTCGCACAGAAATAAGTATATTAATCAAGCATTTTCTTTTTTAATTTGAAATCTAAACAGAATTCTTTCATTTCCACAATTCAAGACGATAATGGCGAATTAAACTGGTCTGCAGTTGCGAAAATATGGTTCTTGCAAAGAGTTTCTTAGAAAGAAAATAATCATTGCATCTACTCTACAATGCCTTTCACTAAGAGTTCCACTATTTATACATTGTTATATATGGAACTGTATCTAACATACGATATCATGTGACATTACAGTCGTAAGAGTTTTGTGAGGTTTGAACTCTGAAGAAGCGAATACAAAAGGTATAGGCAGTATAGAGATGTTTGATGGTCCATTTGCGCTCGTTCCAAAGGTACATGTTGCATCGAAAAACATAAAATTAATGAAACATACCTTATGCAACCAAATAATTTCTAAGATAAAAAAATAAGATCACGAAATAATATAATAAGTCTTACCGTAGCCATCTGTTTTTTGTATTGTAGTAAACAGAATAAAGATGATAAAATACAAAGCTGTTAAAATCCCTCTTAGTGGCTGGATGAATCTGTGAAGGTAATTCATTATGAGATTTTTACATACTTTATAATGTGCTATAATACTATATAAACTAATATGACAATGAGAGCAACGGCATAGAAAATTAATTTCGAACACCTTGAATTATTGATAATCACTTTTTTTAAAAAGATGATCTATTAAATATCAATAAATAGATAATGCACTGTTTAAGTATTTTCATATATTAGATAATCGACACTTATATAGCATGAACAATTAATTACAATGTACTGGTACTTGACCGGCAAAGAAGCTCAGTCTGTAGATCGCTTCCGTAATTTGAAGGCTGATGATTCGCGCCCTGGCCAAGACAAACTTATGCAAAAAAAGGAAACATCTGTTCCTCTTAGCACTCGGTACTATAAAAATTAAGGTTGTGTCACATTAGAATGCAACTTTGAAAACCAAGGCTCTATGTCAGACGTTTACACAATCAAGAACCTCGCTGCTCATAGGCCCTAAGGGGCGAGAAAAGTTTCTTTGACTTTTCATTTGAGTAAACAAAAAATCATACATAGAACTGCAATAAAAAAATCGTGATGATTCTCCGCCAGGATTTTGACATCGTGCTATTTGTAAATGATGCACGCTTACAACAAAAACTGCTCATTATTTTCTTTAATCAAGAATGTTACCTCATTTTTGTTTTCTTGTGGATAAAATGACTATCCATAAACTAAATTTAAAATATTTTTTCATCGAGGAATTGTAATTCGTGTTTCACAATGTTGGTATACACACGTACACTAATTTTAAATATGCAAACAAATGATTCACATTAGTTTTTAGATACAAATACATTTATTAAGTGCTTATTACGCAATTAGTAGATAAGTGATCTTTTTGCATTTAGGAATTAATTGAACCAAGTTGATGCAATATATAAACACATTTCCCTGATATTTGACTGTGATATTTTAATAGCTTTGTTCTAATACTTTGATAGCTCTAAAACCATTTGTCGTAATCTATATGTTCCCTCGTAGGGTATGTAACAGAAGTTTGCAATTTCAAGTTAAAATAACTATCTCTTACCTCATACTGTATCGAAAAAATATTAAACCAATACAATTAGAAAAGAAAATATTCTATATTATATTATATATATATACTTTTTGTGACGTGATTTCAATAGACCACTAAAACATGAGTCTACAATTCTAAGTATTTATAATAAAATTTCTATACGTTATTTGACAAAAAGAGGAAGTTTTTTGTTCATACCAATGAATTAGAATGTGTCATCACCCATTGGTTCTCGCAATTCCTTAAAACTAATAGAATAGAGAAGAGGCCCTACATAGCTACGTTAAGGCTTCCAAAAACTTTAAATTCGTTGACAACATAATATTGCACTGAGAGGTCTGTTTTGATTTTAAGTTGTGTACTTAAGTACAGCCATTTTATATAGAGGTTTCTCTCGACCACATATATAATCTTAAATCTTATTTAAGGTATCCGACCCATAATAGCCTCAGATTCAATGAAGTTGAATGCATAACAGATACGTATGGGCTGAATACTTCGTATATTTAGATAATTTTTTTCCGTTTTAGAATGTAACAGTGAAATATGCCGTAATTGTCTTTGAAGAGTTTTTTTTTTTTTTTTTTTTTTTTTTTTTTAATAAATTTATTTACAGAAACAAACAAGTTACATTTATATCCTTAAGCATACACTTAAATACACATACAGACACACACTCACATACAGACACACACTCACATACAGACAAATACATATGGAAGAGGGATGAAAAAATATCAGTATTACATAAGTTTAAAATAATTTTATAGCATTAGTAAAATAAAACTCCTATGATAAACATACTTGTAAAAGACATTTCCAATTTGACCATCTTTTTTCAAATAATTCCTCACCATATGATTTTTTCTCTATAATAAAATAATCATTGAGGTACAATAATAATTCATTAAATATAATGGTACTCTTTTTTCGTGATGTTTGAAAAATATATTTCTTTACTAATACAATAATCATATTCAAGCCCACATCAATATCTACAGGACAGAGTATTACATTTTGTATTTTAAACTCTACTATTCTACCGGATTTTTGTCGAATCCAATCTTCTAAAGATGACCAAATTATCTTAACTACTTCACATTCAAAAAATAAATATCTAAGTGTCTCAGGTTCCTGTGAGCACAGTGCACATTGTTGATTATCAATAATTTTTGAAAAATACAAATATTTATTCACACCAAGTATTCTATGTAAAATTCTGTATTGAAACCAAAACAATGTTGTATCTTTTGTTAGATTTTTAAGATTAATATAAACTTGTTTCCAATTAAAATCTTCTTGTAGTGATAAATCATTAGTCCATTTCTTTTCACACAAAGGTTTATGTTGTCCTTGAGACATAAGCAAATCATATATTCTTCTAGATCCCTTTTTATCCTTACACAAAATTGTTATAAACTCAGGCTGGACTGGTCTTGTTAGTGAAGAAGGATCCAGACATTTTACTTCTGGCATTGCACATAGAATAGCATGCTTAAGACCTTCATATACAGTAAAGGGCATTTTTACATTAAAGTAATTTTTTATTCTTTCATAAGTAATTAAAGTGCCCTGACTAATAAGCAAGTCAGAAACTATATGGAATCCTTTTTTATATAAGGATTTATAAAAAACACTCTGTTTTTGTATCTTAATTTTTTCATTGTACCATAAAGGTTCTAAAAGTGTGTTGTTCTGCATTATAGATTTAGAAATACTTATAAAATCTACAAGATATGAAAGTGTTTCTTTCCAGAAGGGATTCAAAATTAACTTAGATTTTTGTTTAATGTAATCTGATCCAAATTGACACATCTGTGTGACATTACAACCTGTAATTTCTGTAAACAACACTGTCCACTGTGTGGACTTGGTTGAAAGTAATCTCCTTAACCAAGTAAGTTTAATAGATTTTATGAATATTTCAACATTAGTCATTCTGCATCCACCCTTTTTAAAATCTGACTGTAATGTTTTTCGGCTAATTTTATCAGGTTTATTACCCCAAATATATTTAAACAGTAATTTTTCTAGCTTTTTTATCCACTGTGGACTTGGCGTAGGCAAAACACTAAACAGATGAGTAAGTTTGGATAGTAAAATACTTTTAACTACTGTTATTTTGCCCAATGGGGAAATATGTCTTTTGGACCACTGTGTTATTTCTTTTTGAATCACAACTAATCTGCTGTCAAAATTCAGCTGTTCCATTTCCTTAAGATTTGCAGTGTATGTAATACCCAATATTGTAAATGGTTGATTAGTCCAGTTCAGATCTGTACAGTCACACAGTGTTTCATTTGAACCAAGTTTTGAGCCAATCCAAATAACTTTAGTTTTACTAATATTAGGCTTTAAACCAGAAAATTTAGAGAATTGAAAAAGTAAGTCAAGTGCACTTTTTAAACTTTTTTCTGAGCCATCTAAGAACAACACTGTATCATCTGCATATTGGAGTAAACAAACTTTCTCCTTTCCTATATTTATTCCTTTAATATTTTTGTTTTGTCTAATCATAATTCCCATAATTTCAACACAGAGATTAAATAGATAAGGGGATACAGGATCTCCTTGGCGGCAACCTCGGCCAATTAAAAAGAAATCAGAAAAAATGCCATTTTGCAATACACACAGCATAGCTTTGTTATATAAAATTGATACCCATTTTATTATATCCGGGCCAAATTTGAACAACTTTAAGGTCCTATACATAAATTTTCATGAAATTGAATCAAATGCCTTTTCAAAGTCAATAAGTAATATGATACCTGGGATCTGTTTTTCAAGAGTGCTATGGATAGCATCATAGATTACACGACTATTTTCTCCTATGAATCTGCCCTGAAGAAAGCCCTTTTGATTATCATGAATTAAGAAGTCCAAGACCTTCTTAAATCTATTTGCAATACATGAAGAGGCAATTTTATAGGATACATTAAGTAAGGAAATAGGACGCCAATTTTTAAGGTACTCTCTTTGCTTATCACCCTTAGGGAGAATAGAAATAATACCTTGTTTCTGGGTCAAGGATAATTCCCCAGATAAAAATCCATAATTAAGAGATCTGATTAGAAAAATTCCTAAATCTTTCCAGAAAAATTTGTAAAATTCAACAGTAAATCCATCACTTCCTGGACTTTTATTATTCTTCATATTTTTAAGTGCTAAAAGGGCTTCCTCTTTTGAAATTAAACCTTCAAGTTCTTTAGCGGCATTGCTATCCAATACATTAATATGTTCAGTACTAATGATGCTTTCCAACTCCACATCGTATAAATTATTGTCCCCACATGAATATAATGCCTTATAAAATCTTTCAATTTCAGATAGAATATCTGACTGGCCGGTGACAACACCATTAGCAGTAACAAGCTTGTTCACAGTTTTATTAATATAATTTCTTTTCTCCAGACTTAGAAAATATTTAGTAGGCTTCTCTCCATACTCTATCCATTTAAGTTTAGTTCTAGCAAATAAACCTTTAATATATTCTTTCCTAATTTCTTCTAGCTTGGTTTGTGCTTCTTTTAATTTTTCAAAAGTGTCTGATGAGTTGCTACTATCATTATGATCACTTTCTAATTTCATTATTTCTTCCTCAAGAATTTTTGTTTTATTTTCTTTAAGCTTCTTTTTTCTAGATGAAAAGGCAATTGTTACACCCCTTATTTCTAATAAAAGCTGTTCAAAAAATAACTGATCATCTATAGTAAAACATAAATTTTCATCTGATATATTTTTAATTTCACAGGGCTTATGCGGGAAGGCAGCATATTTTTCTTTAACAATTTTTATTGTTTCTTTGACTTTGTCAACATAGGCATGATCAGTAAGTAACGAGTTATTAAATTTCCAGAACCCTTTTCCTCTTTCAAATTTACTAAATGTAATATTAAGTTCAATCATTGAATGGTCTGATCTATAGCCTGGGCCTATGTCAACTTTATCTATTAGTGCCATTAATTCATTTGATACCAAAAAATAATCTAGCCTAGCCTTTTTAATTGGGTTATTTTTAAACCATGTATACCTCTTCCGATTATTATACTTATTTCTCCAAGGATCAACCAGGTTATATGTTTCCTTCAAATTCAGTACCACTTTCCTAGCCTCTGGGTTATTCACATTGTTATAATTAAAGCAGTCTAAATTTTTATCTTGTATCAGGTTAAAGTCGCCTGCCATAATAACAAATTCACCATTAAATTCTGATATTATATCAAAAAAGGACTCATAAAGGATGGATTGTCCTTATTTGGACCATACAAGTTAATTAACATAAAATCATACTTATTAAACACATTCAATTCAAGTATAAGGAGATTCCCATCATCATCATTGTGTTGCTTGCGAATATTATATTCAAAATTATTATTAAGTAATATAGCAGTACCCCTTGCATTTGATTTTCCTGGTGAAAAGTATACATCAAAGCCCCAGAAAGCCCTCACTTGTTTATAGTCATCATTAGTCAAATGAGTATCTTGAAGAAAACATACAGAGAAATTCTTTTGCTTAAAATAGTTTAATACATCCCTTCGTTTCTCTAAGCCGCCAATTCCCCTACAATTAAAGGAGACTATACTAAAACTCATGTTTGTTTAGGAAAGAAAAAAATAATCCAGCTCTGAATTGATCATAATAAGTTTTGAGCTCACCCCTTCCATAGATTGATTGACACATATACACGCATACATACAAAAAAGACAAACTTTCACACGACATAACTAGAGAGAAAAAGAAAAAGAAAAATAGGAAAAAAGTTCAGTTCCTTGTGACACTCGAGTGGCACGAGATAGAGTGCAAATATGTAATGTTTTTATTTTATCTAACCTTCTCAACACCGGAAGTCTACTTCATCCCTATAAATCTAAAATGAATGCCGATTGGACCTAAGAGTTTCCGAACAAATTACTTGCTCTTCAGTTTGCGTTCGATGTTATCAAAAGTGTCAAATTTCATGCGTCTGGTTCCATACTGTCCATATATTGAGCCGTTGAAATACCACGCGGCACTAATCCGGGGATCCTTGGTCAATTCGGTCATAAGATCAACGTTTGCCTTTGTTACATCGTCAGTTATCTTCCAACCCTTTTTTAAGTTTTTGATATCTGATCTCTTTTTCAAGACATGGATTTTTGCCTCAGTGTTTCGAAGCTTTACTATGATGGGTTTGTGTTCGTCCGGCTTTCCCGGAATTCTGTGAATTGCCACAACATCAGTGTCTTTAATTTTCACCCCAACTTCTCCTAGCGCATTATTCACAATCTCCAGGGGATTTTCTCCCTGAGTCTCGGGGAGACCATGGACTTTAATATTATGTTTCCGTGAATATTGCTCGTTTTGGTTGGCCTTTGACAGGGCAGCTTTAGCCACATTTTCGTTCTCCTCAAGTCGATTGTGCAAATCGTTTAACGCTTCAATGCTCTCATCAAGTCCACGTTTAATTGTTCTTTTATCTGCTTCAAGCTGTTCAATACTCTCAACTTTCGATTTTCTTGTTTCAAATTCTCAATTTTATCACTAACATTTTTTTCGAGCTTATCTTGGTGTTTTTGGAAAAGATCCTCCACTACATTTTTAATTAGCTCTTTCACATCGTCAACTTTCAAGGTTTTATTTAAATCACTTTTTATTTTTTTTAATTGGGCTTGAATCAATGACCACTCACCCTCACCTCCTTTTGTTGGGGTTTTCAATACTGGACTTGCCTTTAAGCATGATTTCTGTGTTTTTTCTCCTCCTGTGCTCGTACTCCTCGTAACGACACCTGCCTGACTAGTGGACATTGTTTATTTTTAGTAACACTTCTCACGGCAGCTCAACACGAAAATAAACTGAAAAAATCACTCCTAAACAGGCTTGCAAATTGGTATCTCCACCTCTGATATAGTCCAGCAGTTGTATTGGGAGCCTTCAAAACCTTTCAGGGACCCACTTCTTTCAGTAAACACCCTTTCTCGGCCCTAAACTCCGCAGCTCACATAACGTGGCCTTTGCCTTCGAACGCCATTTTGGAACCCCGTCTTTGAAGAGTTACTCCCACTTATATTAATCAATAGAAATCAAATCTAAAAAAATATCCGGTAAAAAATTAGTTTTCAATCCTTTCTCTATTCCTAAAAAAAAATAGATACATCTTTCCACCACAGCATTTATTGCTATTCTTAGTATTTGATTTTTTTATTTTCAAAAATGTGCTTGTCCCCATAGACCTTAATGCAGTCTTCATTGATTAATTAGTGCTTAGATAATTACATTTTTGAAAATTTCTCGGGATAAATCTTCATCTTTCATAAAGTGTTTTGAATTAATGTCAGAGTATTTTATATAAGATGGGTATCAAAGGTTAAAAAAAATAAGTACAAATATGCGTCGGATACTTTAATCTTAACAAATCATAATTCTTATCCTTTATTTTTATTTTCAAAATCTTTTAGATGCTAGATGCATTATGACGTCATTATTAATTAAAAATTACATTTTCATGTACATAAAGGCTATCATATGGGGAATCACTGTCTGTTTTTGTTTTTGTTTTTTTTTTTTTGTTTTTTTTTGTTTTTGTTTTTTTTGGTTTTATGATGTGATCAAGCAATTGACTTGCATGATAATTTGCATAAACACCTTCGTCTGTTTTGCTTCATGGAGAAATCAAACTTTTTTTTTTCATTATTTGTAGTTTGAGCTCGGACAAGGAAATTTTACAATGTAATTATTGAATTATATAACAAATGAAACAACTCCATAGCATTCCATTCAAAATCTTGCAAAAAGTAATAGAGATACCCATATTTAATTTGATATTGTTTGATAGAAGATGCCAAGAAGATTCAGAATACCGTTTTTGAGAAACCATGGGCTATATGGATATAATTTTTATTGTCTGATAAACAAACAACTCCTATATTTTAATCTGGTTTTCTTAATTTATATTGCAAATGACCACGAAAAACACATTTTTAGATGTGTTCACCTAAATGTTATGTCCAGCTTCATTGCATTTACCCATGCTAAACTAATAAGCATCATTAAAGAAGACAATACGCATCCTTCATGTACTAGATCTTTAATTGAAGTATGTTTATAACATGTTCACATACTAGTATATATATATCATAAATTGTGCTTTGTGTGTTTCTAAACGTTTTGATTATTAAGTAACAACCAATGCTAGAGGTTTAAAATAACATTTAACAAAGTATATATTAAATATTAAACTTACAAAGTTATACTGGAATCTAAATCGACTTAATAAAAACTTTACTGAGCTATAACCAACACATGTAGCCTACAATCTAAACACGTTTTAAAAGAGATTATTAGTGAAAAAAAGAAAATCTGTGGTTTTTAACCCTGCCCGATATTTAATATCCATTCTTGAAATATTGAACACGTACGCGTATTTATAAGCTAATTGTTGTATCAGATGAATTAGTGGTCGTATGCAACATTTGTCAAACTGAGATAAAAAAAATATATCATTTAAGCTCAATAAAATTTCAAATAAGAAATATTTTAATAATGCTTTTCTTGTCTGAATAAAGATGTAATTATTCGTGGATTTTTTGAAGACCTCGCTACTTTTGATTGTTTGAATTCCTTTTATGTATTGAAAATTAAATCGGAAACAATATTTTTTTTTCTAGTTATTTATAAGAAGTTTGGGTCTGTGTTCAACGATAGATATATGATATGTTTTCAAACTTATAATAATTTAGAAATAACCCTAAAACTAATCTGTAAATTAAATAATTTGAATGGTCAGACTTCTCCCTATTCTGTTGACTGGTCAAAAGCTTCTGTAAGGATGAAGAAATTTGGAAAATTTAAGTAAGCCTTGGCCTCTCTCAAAGCTGTTTTTAAATATCAATGGGTCTTTGAACCAATTGTCATTTGGTGTTGTTCTTGGTTAAAGAAAACATCACACGAATGCCTGGACTCTTACTTCAGTATATTAGCATAGAGAGCAAAACAAGTTCACACTATTTTCTCTGAAGAAACATAAATTGTCTTGAATCTTAATATAGTGAAGTTGACCATAATGCAATAGTTGAAATAAAATACATATTTTGTTTAAATATGGCAATTTCTAAAATATAAACAAGAGTTTCTCGTTCCCTTAAGCTTGCTTGTATAACTTTTGCTGCGATCACATTTTCAGACTTGATCATAACTGCAATTGGTCGCATGACTTATTTGTCCAAGTTCTTCATATTCGTCATTACTTTCTCCCTTTCGGGGTTTTGTTTTAATTGTGTCTTCTTTCGTGGATAACTCATTTCTCGATTTTGTCTGAGATGATATCTGTCTACAGATCACATCTCTGAAAATCTTAAAATAAAAAAAAATCTTTAGTGTATTTGAAAAGAATATTACAAAATTGAAAGATATTTTGATTATCGATGAGAGATGAATGGAAAAAAAAGAAGGATATTATAATGTTTCGGATATACAATTAATGAAAACCTCTTTTCTCCGGACTTTTAAATTCGCTTGACTTACCAAAACAGCACGTCGAGAGGGATTATTTTAATTATATGTTACTACATAAAATGCGATTTACTTACTTGTCAAGGAAATAGCTTAATTCAGCTTAGAATACTTAAAAATGCCTTAAACTTTGTAATTTACCTATGATTATGAATAGATAATTCAAGATACATCTGATGGTATTGAAGTTGCTATTGTTTTGAAAAGAATAACCAGTCTGATCCGGAGTTATATTTCGCATGGTGTCAATAAACGTGGCTTATATACATATTGTAAACGTTTGGGAAACGAACAGGGTTGTTTCATTTTCACTATGTTCACGATATATCATTTTCCAGAGAAATTAGAACCAGAGCAAATAAGGTTATCAGATACCACAATAAAGCATATCATTATATGTTGATAAATAAGAAATATGACCTATCATTGGGTCTCATTTTGGCTGACGTGTTTCATACCAATTGTTAGGCCTTTGTTTTTACATTACATTTGACTACGGTATACTCTGTCTATCTGATCAATACATAGGGCTCACGGCGTGTGTAACTGGTCAACAGGGGATGCTTACTCCTCCTAGGCACCTGATCCCACCTCTGGAATTTCCGGGGGTCCGTGTTTTATGCCCTTTTCACAGATTTGTATTGTGTGTGTGTTTTTTTTTTTCATTATAACAAGGCACAATTGAAATTAAAGCCAACGTGAATGGTACGCTTGTAACAAATCGGGAAATTTTAGCAACTTGAAACTAAAAAGACGATATTAATTTTCGAGATTAGGAAGTGAGAGATAGGAAGGGGATGTGAATAAGAAATAACAAGGGACTTTCTTGAATAGCGCAATATTTAAATAAAAAACCTACCCTCTTAGTGTCTGCTTTAAAAGATCTTAATAACAATGAAACGAAGGGCCTAGCAATTTATACGAGCAGCATGCAATCCACTGAAATAAAATAGAATGGAAAGGGTGCTAAAAACTTGTAAAGTTTTGTCCAACAATTAAATGAGTCCTTTTGAAGCTTGCTACGATATTGTCATTCATAGATGGCTTTATCCACTTAAGTATTTGAGTACCGTCTTATCGTGACATATAGTACATAGTGTAATCTTACCAGGCAATTACAATTCCGTTGAGTAGAACACTCAGGCATAGAACGGTGACTACTACATAAACAACAGAGGAAGACAGTGGCTTGCTTGATTCTACAATCCTTTCAACTTTTAAAAGAGAAAAAAAAAACTGTGGTTATGAACATGGCTGTTGGTTCCATTAAAGATATATGAAAAACTCAATAACAGCTAGTGCAATACTGGAAGCTATTGTTCCTAAAAATGTACAATGACCTTAAATATGTGGACAAAATCTCGAATACAAAAGCAGTGCGATTAATGTTTCTTTAGTAAAAAAGAATATGTACAATTATAACTCATCTGGTAATGCTACAATACATTTCCAAGTTTCTGATTTTTTTTTTTGTTTTTTTTGTTTTGTTAAGTGTCAAAAAAATTTGAAATTCCGTTTTTTTTAATAGAAAATAATTGTGTTGGACTGCATGCAGAAAACTCCTAAAAATTTAAAAGAGAAAATTTAAACGAAACACTTTATTGTTCTCATGAAACATTGAAGCATGCTTTTATGTGAAGTTTAATCGGGGTGAATTATAAAATATTTGGTTCAATAACATCGTAAAGGTCTTTAACTCGTTATCCTTATATAACCTAAAACAAATTATTAAACAAATAGAAAAAAAAAAGTCTATGATGTAACCTATAGAGGCGCATTGCATTTATTTGTCTTAGGCAAATAATGTCTGATTTACCCTGTTTACTTTTGTCACAAGTCCGACCAGTCCATCCTTTCTGACAACCCCCTATACATTGCCCAGTCAAACCGTCACAGCTTCCAGGTAACCCACAGTTTACGCTGCACTCATTCTTGCAATTCTCTCCAAATCTTCCCAAAGGAACTCTATTTACAGATAACTATTTAAAATAAACTTTATATTATATATATATATATATATATATATATATATATATATATATATATATATATATATATATATATATATATATATATATATATATATATATATATATATATATATATATATATATATATATACGCTATGTATGACACAATATATACATCATATTTTTTCTTTCGTCCAATGCCCTCTATTCCTTTTCCAAATTTACCTTGATGACAGGTGCTTCCAAAATGTCCAGCAGCACATCTATGTAACAGATCCCACTTATAAGGTCACATTGTTGTCCATCTTGACATTTTCCACATACTCTCGAACACTGACGTCCATATGTGTTGTTTTGAGAAGCTAAGCATTATGTATGTCCTTTAAGCGTTTTATAAATAGATACATTTTATGAATATTTCCAGACGAATGTAATACAAACCGAAAAATGTCAATAATTAAAAATTTAAAAGCAGATGCAGATATGTACTGATCTTAGTTTAACAATGAGTTAAATATACGACAAATATACGTTTGCACAACTCTACTCTGTCATTCATCATAATGAATACTGGGAAATGATCATTTCTTGTAGAAGTTTAATTTGAGTAAGTTTTTGTTGATACCGACATCCACAGATGAAAAGCTCAAAGAAAATTTATTACCGAAGTAAAATCTAAAAAATATCCGGTAAAAAAGTAGTTTTTAATTCTTTCTCTATTCCTAAAAAAAGAAAAAGAAAATAAATACATCTTTCCCCCACAGCATTTATTGATATTCTTAATATTTTATTTTTTGAATTTTCAAAAATGTGCTTGTCCCCATAGACTTTAATACAGTCTTCATTGATTAATTACGGCTTAGATAATTACATTTTTGAAAATTTCTCGGGATAAATCTTTATCTTTCATAAAGTGTTTTGAATTAATGTCAGAGTATTTTATACAAGATGGGTATCAAAGGTTAGAAAAAATAAGTACAAATATGCGTCGGATACTTTAATCGTAATCAATCATAATTCTTATCCTTTATTTTAATTTTCAAAATCTTTTTTATTTTAATGGTGACTGTCTTTTAGATGCTAGATGCATTATGACGTCATTATTAATTAAATATTACATTTTCCAGTACATAAAGGCTATCATATGGGGAATCACTGTCTGGTTTTATGATGTAATCAAACAACTGACTTGCATGATAATTTGCATAAACGCATTTGTCTGTTTTGCTTCATGGAGAAATCGAACCTTTTTTCATTATTTGTAGTTTGAGCTCGGACAAGGAAATTTTACAATGTAATTATTGAATTATATAACAAATGAAACACTTCCACAGCATACCATTCAAAATTTTGCAAAAAGTAATCGAGATACCTATATTTAATTTAAAATCGTTTGAAAGAAGATGCCAAGAACATTTAGAATACCGTTTTTGAGAAAGTATGGGCTATATGAATATAAATTTTATTGTCTGATAAACAAACAACTCCTGTATTTTAATCTGGTTTTCTTTATTTCTAGTGAAAATGACAATGAAAAACACATTTTTAGATGTGATCACCTAAACGTTATATCCAGCTTCATTGCATTTACCTATACTAAACTAAGTAAGCATCATTAAAGGAGACAATACGCATCCTTCATGTACTAGATCTTTAATTGAAGTATGTTTATAATATGTTCACATACTAGTATATATATCATAAATTGTGTTTTGTGTGTTTCTAAACGTTTTGATAATTCGGTAACAACCAATGCTAGAGGTTTAAAATAACATTATACAGAGCATATATTAACCCTCTTTCCCGCAGTCACGCATCTTAACGCATATACCATTTCCTATTTCTAACGCAAAATCACGCATATACCGTTTCCCCGCAATCACGCATTTTCACGCACTTTCAAAAGTAAATTTAATCTTCAATTTAATGCCATTTCCCTTCTAATTTATACTTGCTAAAAAACTCATAAAATAAGAAATGTCATAATCTTATTAAAATATTACATCAATTATTTACGCTAACCTTAGAGAAACGTACCTCGCTATAAAGTGCTTGCGGGGAAAAGGTAACGTCATATTTCTATGACGTGAACATTAAGTGTATGGTGCGTCATAGTTCAGTAAGTTGTAAAGAGTTAAATATTAAACTTACAAAGTTAAACTGGAATCTAAATCAACTTAATGAAAACTTTACTGGGCTATAACCAACACATGTAGCCTACAATCTAAACACGTTTTAAGAGAGAGAGAGAGGTTATAGGTGAAAAAAAGAAAATCTGTGGTTTTTAACCCTACCCGATAATTAGCATCCATTCTTGAAATATTGAACAAGTACGCGTATTTATAGGTTCTTTAAAGAATTGTTGTATCAGATGAATTAGTGGTCGTATGCAACATTTGTCAAACTGACATGAAAAAAAAATCATTTAAGATCAATAAAATTTCAAATAAGAAATATTTTAATAATGCTCTTCTTGTCTGAATAAGGACGTAATTATTCGTGGATCTTTCAAAGACCTCGCTACTTATGATTGTTTGAATTCCTTTTATGTATTGAAAATTAAATCGGAAACAATATTTTTTTCTAGTTATTTATAAGAAGTTTGGGTCTGTATTCAGCGATAGATATATGATATGTTTTCAAACTAATAATAATTTAGAAATAACCCTAAAACTAATCTGTAAATTAAATAATTTGAATGGTCAGACTTCCCCCTATTCTGTTAACTGGACAAAAGATTCTGTAAGAAATTTGGAAAATTTAAGTAAGCCTTGGCCTCTCTCAAAGCTGTTTTTAAATACAATGTGTCTTTGAACCAATTGTCATTTAGTGTTGTTCTTGGTTAAAGAAAACATTACACGAATGCCTGAACTCTAACTTCAGTATATTAGCATAGAGAGCAAAACAAGTCCACACTATTTTCCTTGAAGAAACATAAATTGTCTCGAATCTTTATATAGTGAAGTTGACCATAATGCAATAGTTGAAATAAAATACATATTTTGTTTAAATGTGGCAATTTCTAAAATATAAACAAGAGTTTCTCGTTTTCTTAAGCTTGCTTGTATAACTTTTGATGCGATCACACTTTCAGACTTGATCATAATTGCAATTGGTCGCATGACTTATTTGTCCAAGTTCTTCATATTCGTCATTACTTTCTTCCTTTCGGGGTTTTGTTTTAATTGTGTCTTCTTTTGTGGATAACTCATTTCTCGATTTTGTCTGAGATGATATCTGTCTACAGATCACATCTATGAAAATCCTAAAATAAAAAAAATATATTTAATGTATTTGAAAAGAATATTACAAAATTGAAAGATATTTTGATTATCGATGGGAGAGGAAGGAAATGAAAATTAAGGATATTATAATGTTTCGAATACACAATTAATGAAAAACCTCTTTTCTCCAGACTTTTAAATTCGGTTGACTTACCAAAACATCAAGTCGGGAGGGATTAATATTTTAATTATTTGCTACTACATACAATGCGATTTACTTACTTGTCGAGGAAAAAGCTTTATTCAGCTAAGAATACTTAAGAATGCCTTAAACTTTGTAATTTACCTATGATTATGAATAGATAATTCAAGAGACATCTAATGGTATTGAAGTTGCTATTGTTTTGAAAAGAATAACCAGGAGTTATATTTCGCATGACGTCAATAAACGTGGCTTATATACATATTGTAGACGTTTGGGAAACGAACACGGTTGTTACATTTTCACTATGTTCACGATATATCATTTTCACGAGAAATTAAACCCACAGAAAATAAGGTTATCAGATACCACAATAAAGCATATCATTATATGTTAAGAAATATGACCTATCATTGGGTCGCATTTTGGCTGACGTGTTTCATACCAATTGTTAGGCCTTTGTTTTCACATTAAATTTGACTACGGTACATTCCGTCTATCTGATCAATACATAGGGCCCACGGCGTGTGTAACTGGTCAACAGAGGATGCTTACTCCTCCTAGGCACCTGATCCCACCTCTGGAATTTCCGGGGGTCCGTGTTTTATGCCCTTTTCACAGATTTGTATTGTGTGTATTTTTTTCATTATAACAAAGCACAATTGAAATTAAAGCCAACGTGATTGGTACGCTTGTAACAAATCGTGAAATTTTAGCAGCATGGAACTAAAAAGACGTTATTAAATTTCGAGATTAGGAAGTGAGAGATAGGAAGGGGATGTGAATAAGAAAAAATAATGGACTGTTTTGAATGACGCAATATTTAAAAAAAGACTAATCTCTTAGTGTCTTCTTTATAAGATCTTAATCACGATGAAACAAAGGGCCTAGCGATTAACACGAGCAGCATGCAATCCACTGAAATAAAATAGAAAGGAAATGTGCTAAAAATTTGCTTGTAAATTTTTGTCCAACAATTAAATGAGTCCTTTTGAAGCTTGCGACCAAATTGTCACTCATAGACGGCTTTATCTACTTAAGTATTTGAGTACCGTCTTATCGTGACACACAGTGCATAGTGCAATCTTACCAGGCAATTACAATTCCGTTGAGTAGAACACTCAGGCATAGAACGGTGACTACTACATAAACAACAGAGGAAGACAGTGGCGTGCTTGATTCTACAATCCTTTCAACTTTTAAAAGAGAAAAATCGTGGTTATGAACATGGCTGTTGGTTCCATTAAAGATATAATATGAAAAGCTCAATAACAGCAAGAGCAATACTGGAAGCTATTGTTCCTAAAAATGTACAATGACCATAAATATGTGGAGAAAATCTCGAATACAAAAGCAGTGCGATTAATGTTTCTTTAATAAAAAAGAATATGTACAATTATAACTCATCTAGTAATGCTACAATAAATTTCCAAGTGTCTGAGCTTTTTTTTTATGTCCAAAAAAAAAAAAAAAAAAAAAAAAAAAAAAAAAAAAAGGTGAAATTCCGTTTTTTTTTATAATAGAAAATATTTGTGTTTGACTGCATGCAGAAAACTCTTGAAAATTCAAAAGAGAAAATTTAAACAAAACACTTTATTGTTCTCATGAAACATTGAAGCATGGTTTTATGTGAAGTTTAATCGGGGTTAATTATAAAACATTTGGTTCAATAACATCGTTAAAGTTTTTAACTCGTTATCCTTATATAACATAAAACAAGTTATTAAACAAATAGAAAAAAAAAAATACAATTTTTAGTCTATGATGTAACCTATAGAGGCGCATTGCATTTATTTGTTTTAAACAAATAATGTCTGATTTACCCTGTTTACTTTTGTCACAAGTCCGACCAGTCCATCCTTTCTGACAACCCCCAGTACATTGCCCAGTCACACCATCACAAGTTCCAGGTAGCCCACAATTAACACTGCACTCATTCTTGCAATTCTCTCCAAATCTTCCCAAAGGACACTCTGTTTACAGATAATTGTTTGAAATATACTTTATATTGTATGTATAAAGTATATATATATATATATATATATATATATATATATATATATATATATATATATATATATATATATATATATATATATATATATATGTATATATATATATATACGAGGGGTTATCAAAAAGTTCGTGGACTAGCGTCATAAAATTAAAACCGCTTTAGGTACATCAATGAATTTTTACACATTTAGTTAGCATCATCTTTTCTATCTATAGAATAAACCATAAATCATAATTTTTATTTTTTAATAAATTGTTAGTGTTTTTGTAAGCAAAGGTATGTCCAGGCGGCGCAACCTCTAATATGACGTTTTTTTCTACCTGGGTATAACTGAGAAAAACTCTTTAGATATGAGTATTTGTCATCCAAAAATCTCGTTAATTCAGGCATGTGGTATGACACATTTGTTTAGTAAAATTTGCAATTTTTACCCGATTCTGTAATTTCTATGAAATTTTATCGTAAATTTTATATGGAGTGTCCAAACAATTATGGACTTGAAAATAACGTCAACAAGGGGGAGGGGTTTCTTTTTCAATCACTCTATAGAGTTTCGCTCCTGGAAAAACTGGTATTGACCTAAGGAATGTTTAAACTGGCTACAGAAAAATAAAATGCATCCAGAGTACTTGTTTTTAATGCCCAAAAAGATTCAGAGAGATGAAATATGCACAGTTAGTGTCGATTTGTAGTCAGGGTGTCAAAAGTCAGTCACGTCGAAAAGTGACGTTGATCATGTGTGGTAGAAATTGAACTCCAACAAACTAAGTATTCTGGCACAATCAGGTGAGGATCTTTCCCCATATAAAGATCCATTTACAATATTATATGCATTGAAAACAGCTGCTCAAGACATTGTAAATTCATATAAATAAGACGGGTTTAAGTCCTTACTTAACTCCAGGTAATCTCATCAATATAATTGTATGAGGTAGAGAGAGCGGACATTAAGAAACAATGACGTTAAGCGGACGTCATGACACTAAACGGCGACAGCGCCGGGTGATCACATAAAGTCTTTTTAATTTTAGAATAATTTGGCAAATTATCAACGTATCAAGCTAAAATTTTCAACATTTCTTAAACTTTTGTTGTTTTATGTTCCGCTTAAATTTTGTAAGCAAAGACTACATATTATTAATTTTATCGCGTCAGTCCACGAACTTTTTGATAACCCCTCGTATATATATATATATATACGCTATGTATGACACAATATAAACATAATATTTTTTTCCTTTGTCCAATGCCTTCTATTCGTTATCAAATTTACCTTGATGACAAGTGCTTCCATAATACCCAGCAGCACATCCCATGTAACAGACCCCATTTATATAGTCACATTGTTGTCCATCTCGACATTTTCCACATACTTTCGAACACTGACGTCCATATGTGTTGTTTTGACAAGCTAAGCATTAATTATATCCTTTAAACGTTTTGTACATAGTTACATGTTATGGATATTTCAAGATGAATGCAATGCAGACCAAAAATTTCAATAATTAAAAATTTAACAAGTTGATGCAGATATGCACTGATCTTAGCTTAGAAATGAGTTAAATACACGACAAATATATGTTTTCAAAACTCAACTCTATCATTTATCATAATGAATACTGGGAAATGATCATTTTCTGTGGGAGTTTACTTTGAATTGTTTTTGTTGATACCACAGATTAAAAGCTCAAAGATAATTTATTTCGCGTCTACTATATATATCTCATAGGGAGAAATTTATCCACAAGTTTACGTCCCCATAAACTAGTAATAGAAAATTGGGTAAGTTAAACCAATACCACAGTAATGTAAAGATATTCTTTTCTTTGTGTATTTTAACTTTATCTATAATCCTATATGATCAGCTGTTCCGTTTAATTTCAGAAATATAGATTTTTTAAAAACATTAATTAGTCAGATAAGATATAAGCAATACGAGACGAGATTTGTTATAAACACTTCCTTAATGAAAAGTTTGTTGTTGTTTTTTTGTCTTAGAAGTTCTCTCATTATTCTTAACGAAAACCACACGCTTTGATTGCGTTCTGTTGTAATTTACAAAATACTAGTTACGACAGACGAAGCTACCCTAAGTTACTGTTCCCGATGTAGCAGGAAGGCTTCGTTTTATTAAATCCAAGCCCAAAGGCATAACGACAAAATACATTCTAACGCTAACATGTTAATTATTTTTTGACAGGAATCAGGGTAAATATATGCATACCTATCCGGTTCATAATAGGTATTTATAATATTGAAATATACATATACATATACTTACATTGCTCGCATTCATTGCCTTGGTAGCCATCATCACATTGAAAACAGTGACCAGATGCTATGTGGCATCGATTGTCATGGCAGTTTGATGGACATCTTGAACATTTTTCTCCGAAGTATTGAGAAGATGAACAACCTTATTACCAATGTAAATTACAAATGTAAGTGTTATCACCAAACAGAAAGCATACCCTAATAATCACTGTAAATTATGTAACATGAAAAAATGGAAATGTTAAATATAAGATCTTTAGACCACACGCCACTAATATAATTTATCGCAGACATTTGATATAAAAAAGTGCTTGATCTATATGTTATGAATAATTTTTCTTTTTGGATGTCATTTACAAACCTTTATGCTCTATGTACGAACAATTTCTAAAAAGAGGCAAGCTATTGACAAATAAGTTGTTGAAACAAGGATATCAACAGTCTCGTTTCAAGTCAACATTTTGCAAACTCTATGGTCGATACAATGACCTTGTCAGCAAATAAAATCTAAAATTAAGTCGATTTTGACTTTTTCATACAAATTGTTAGGCCATTATTTTCAACAATGAATTGGATTTTTCAGTTTGCCCAAGCGTGACAAAGAGTTCAAGGAGGGTGTGACTGGTCGACAGGCTAGACTTACTCCTCCATGACACTTGGTCTCACCTCTGATGCTTTTTAGAGGTGTTTGTTCTGCTCCCATTTTGCATTGATTCAAAGGACTTTTAAGCCTGATTACTGTTCGTTATCCTCATAATTTATTTGGCCAACGTGCCATATTCATAATTTTTGCCCGAAATGTCGTTTACACCCTTTTTACAATAACACGTCATTTACATAAGTTTTGGCGAAATGAAAGTGAACATGACCTGATAGTGAACTGGAATAAAATATATGTGCCCTAACTATTTGCCAACTATATGTATATGCTATATATTTAACGGTACTGAAAAAAAAAATGAATGTCACTCCCACCCCCACCCCTCCTCAATTATCACAATTCAACATACTTATACTATCCAGAATAAAGAAAACATACATAAACACGTTCTTAATCTTTATCAATATGGAGATATCATGATCAAATTATACAAATATGAACGTTAGAATTTGTTTGGGATATTTCATTCCTAAAAACGTTATCGTGAAAGAGAAAATTCCAATATGGCAAGGCTATTTCTAATTATGGAACACAACTTCGAGTAGGTCCTTAAATCAGTACCGTCACGGTAGCTCAGTCGGAACAGTCCCCGCCTTTATTTTATTTGTATTCTGCAAATACATAAAATGGAGTTTGCTATGAGGTTTGACTGCATGGTTTTGGAAGGATTAGCTGCAGAACCGTAGCTCTGTGGTTGAGAAATTACGGACAGGCAAAATAAAGATATTATATGTTACCCTATATATAGCTATTTAATAAACATATCTGATTGGAGTTTGATAAAATTGGCACTTTATATCTTCAAAAACTACTATTTGCGGTACATTGGGTTGTTGATTCCTTCTTATTTTCCAGATTGATAGCCTCTTCACATCCTTAAATATTCGTCACATATGTTGCATATTTATATATATATATCCCCTGATTTTTTGGTTGTTGCAAAAACAAAATATTCGCTAAAATTAAACCTATTACTGCCATCGATTTCTTTAATGGTATATGATGACATTTCGATGGTGTCTCAGTTACAGTACCCGCATCGTTATTCTTTACAGGATACACGATACGATAGGATACACGCACGATACGATAGGATAAACGCACGATACGATAGGATACACGCACGATAGGACAGGATACACGCACGATAGGATAAACGCAAAACACGATAAACGCAAAATACGATAAACGCAAAACACGATAGTCCTGATAAACGATCTTCACGATAGGATAAACGCAAAACCTGATAGGATTGTTTCAAAATGCGGAGCGTTTTTTGACAAGACGAAAAGTTTCCTTTTTGATATATCGTAGTATGATAATTCTAATTACTTGCAAAGCCGCAAATCTAAATGATGAAATATATTAAATTTACCATGATAAAAAAAAATTGAAGTAATGATGCTTTGTAAAAGATTTTTTTTTTCGTTAATAAAACTGATCGTCCTCAATTTCAAACTGTAATTATTTAAGATTAATTCCACTCTATGATGGAAATTAGGCGATTGTTTGTGTAATTCTAAAAATGTCGAGATTCCATCGAATCGTTAAATTTGAATTTTGAGTCGTTGAATTACGTAGATTTTAATTTGTTGGAGGCTCAAAAATTCGGTAGACAAGCAAAGTTTTACACCCATGTGCAATAAATTCGCGAAAGGTTATAAATATATTCATTATTTTAACAAATAAAACCTTATGAAATTTATAACAAACATCGATTATTTTTACGGAAGAACTCCATGTAAAAAATGAAATACTTGGATTCAATATCTTGTGCTAGAAGTCTGCGATGTATCCAAAATCGCCTTTACATGTAATAATCTGTATTTAATAAATCAAATCTTACGAGAAAAATTATTAGTCATAATTAAGGGGGGGGGGAATTATCATTATAATTATTTTAAGGTTAACGCTTTCTCCTCAATTTTTTACGAATTTGCTTTAATTTATATTTTATATAAATTAATTTTATATTTATTACGTTTTAAACAAATGACTTGCTGAAATTGCATTGACA